GCAGAGCCTGTGTGACTCAGAAGGGAAAAATATTAAAGTTTTCTTTAAAGGAAAATATTGAAGTTTTCTTTAATTCCCCAACCCTGTTTACATCTGATTCTCCTTACTGAGAAGAGTCAGGGCTTCTCTCAGCTCTCAAGCAGCAGAGTTTCAGGACCCAGGAACAATACCGTGTAATTTAGATGATTGCTCCCTGCCTTGTGAGCACAGTGCAGACCTCCACTACCAAACCCCAAGGAACAGTGTGGAAATCTGCTTGCCTCTGCCCGAGAGAAAACCAGGCATGGAGCAGCTCCCCTTGCTGCACACAGAGACGTGGGAGGAAAGGTGCTTGTTATCAAAGAGGAGCCGTGACTACAGAGGAAGAGTCTCTCGTGCCACCTGCTTCCACTTCCTTTTGCTTCATGTACCAGGACCAGCTTTGAACCGTGTGTGCCAAATGGAGAAACCTGGTGGTTGGATAACATCCTGGATCTGGAAACATTATGATGCAAAGCAAGCAAAAATTCCAGGAAGCTGATGTGTTTGTTGAGATGCTGGGAGGGGTATGATGCAAATAACTCCCTGCATGTCATTTGCACGTACTGAGGCATAAAAATAATTCCTCAGGCCAACTCTTAAGGCTGGCAGACAAGTTGAGATCCAGGCACAGCGCTGCTGAACGGGTGCTGTAAGCCTTGAGGTCAGGAGTGGGTCTGCAGAGATGCTGAGGCTGGATGTGGCCCTGGCTCTTTGCCTGATCACCCAGGCAGAAAAAAAGAAAAACCCAAAAAACAACTGAAGCCTGATACTGTGCAGGATGCACTGACTCTTATGCATCCTCCTCCTCAGCTGGAATGCCGACACATTCCTCCTTCTGCTGCTTTTGAAATCAGGAAACTGGTTTTACTTCTGTGCAACAGGACTTTCAGGTCTGATGGCGAGAGCCTCATCCGTGAAGGAGGAGCTGGGTGGGCAGAGCAAGGATAGCTGGGTGTAAAAGGGATCATGACATTCCCGCTGCATATTCCTGGTTAGGAAGTGCTTATGGTGTCTTTGAAGACACCTTAAGGAGCACACAGGTCTCTCTGCACACAAAAAGGGACCATTGGGTAAGTGCTGTCACTCTGAGCTGCTCCTTAATCCCTAACCTGTCAAAATCAAATGTCAACGTTTGCAACAAATATTTATGCACTAAGAACAAGCAAACGCAGCCAGTGTGAAACCCTGATACCCTGTCAACTGGCTGGACCACATGAATGAGGCTCTGCTCGAGCAGAAGCACAAGCAGCACATGTGGCTGGGAGCCAGAGGAGGAGCTGGTTTCTCCTGCAGCAACACCTGGAACTCCTCACCCTCCACTGACCCGGGGCTGTTTCCCACCTTCAAAGTGAAAAAAAAAAATTATTATAAAATAAAACCTATTGTGCTTTACAAATAGTTTCTAAACACTGATCTGTCCTGTATTATGCAAAATGTGAAGTCCTCATCTGGCCAGCAGAATGGTTAGCATTAAGCATTTAAAGCTTTTTTTTTTTTTTTTTTTTTTTAATGTACTGAGTCAGCACAACCACACCAGTGACAAGGGAAAGCATTTGGAGCTCAGAACCGGCTCAACTCTGGATGGAATGAAGAGAACAAGTTGTTCTTGCGCTGGCGCTAACGAAGGCTGGTTTCCAATGGACTCGCGTGTCGTGGTTGATTGATTTTTAACTGCATTATGCAAAGGCAGTGGCACGTTCCTCATCGCTTACAGGGCGTTGGAGAGCCCACACACGTGAGAAGAGTTGTGGAACTGAATCAGGAGGTGAGGAAAAGAACGTCCCAGGGAACTGCCTGGTGTCTCCTGGAGGATCTGGCTGGGGTGATGAAAGATGCTCCTCTCCTCATCTGACTCCAGGGTGGCAGAGGGCTGCAGCTCCCAAGCCAAGCCACACCAACGTGTTATGGGAGCGCTCTTCAAGCACATTGCTGCAAAGTTGGCCACAGTAGCTAAAATCTCCCTCATTTCAAGGCTCTGGAGCTGTATGTGTGTCCTTTAGGGGTAACTTGGAGGTAAAGCTGGTTACGACTCCCTGGTGGCAACCTTTTGTTTTAAATAGTCAGGTTTTGGTGGAAAAACTAGCCATGGCAAGAACTAAATCATGAGAGGATAATGCCTGGTGTGAATGAGTCTTGTCTCTCTGAGAAATGCCCGTGGGGGAAGCGATGTGGCAGGTCTATCAGGGAGGACAACCAGAGACTGATTCTGTGGATGGGGAACACGGAAAATGTCCTCTAAGGGGCAGAGTCCATGACAACCCCACAACACTCCTGGGACAAGCACTGTCCCTAATGCCACACTCGGGAGGTGTTCAGGGCTGTGCTGCTAAACAGGGCCTGTGACTTCTCCAGCCTGAAGGGACCACCGAAAAAGGTAACGGAGCAAGCAGCGAAGCCTTCCAAGCCCACATAAAATAGTCAGTTGTTGAGCTTTTAAAACCACTCATGAGCTGTTTAATGTAATCACAGTACATTTTGAAACAAAACCTGCTCCACAGCCCAGACCTCTGCCAGCCACTCCCGTAATGGGGCATGGGTTTCACCAGCACTCGTGTTCTACTGGTGATCTCCCTCCTTGGGCATCCCTTCCAGTGCGTGCATGGGTTTGGTTTGTTTTTGGGGACACACAAAAAAGCCCTTAGGGAATGTGCATCATCCTTATATAAAGTCTGATCTACTAAGCTCCAGAGTTGCCAGGTTTCAGCTGTTTTGCCCAGCACCTGCTATGCAGAAGTTGCTGGCTCCTCACTGAATGGCTGCGCGGCAGGGGGATGCATCTGCCTTGGGACACAGAGCCCATCCTAGGGGTCTATGAGTGGAAAGAGACCCTTCCCAAATAGGGTCTGAACTGGTTCAGTTCTGGATAAGGAGAGCATCTGGGGGAGATGCAGTTTCCCATCTACACTGGCAGGACACCCTTTTACCCCAGAAACATTCTGCCACGATGGGTCTGCTTGGTGGGGTCTGAAGGGGCTTTTGATGTGCCCAGCCTCACCAGCCCTGGCTGCGCCGCAACGCCCTGCACCCCAGTCCCGCCCTGGAGAGCCTCAGCTAGCTCAGGAACCCCACACCCCGAACACCATGGGCATCCTGTTCCCCTGCCACTCTGGAGCAGACCTACCCCAGCTCCATTCCAGAGCACCCCGTGCCCCCCAGGACTTGCTCCACAGCACCCCAGGCAGCCTGCACCATGGGGCTGGCTCCAACGTGCCCTGCTCTGGGGGACACCAAAACAAGCCAGCTCCTCTCTCGGGGGATCCTGTGCCCCAACTGGTCCAGAGAGATCTCCAGCACCCCCCACATGGCTTCACATTTGAGTGCCCCAACTTTTACCTGCACCCTAGCTGCTCTGGAGCCCCTCAACACCCCAGCACTTCAGCTCCATGGAAGCGGCACCAGACCCTCCCAATGCCACCAACACCCCAGTGTACCAGCTCCAGGGTGCAGCACTGGAGCCCCCTAACACCCTCAGAGACCTGGTGTCCCAGCTCCAGGGAAGCGGCACCAGAGCCCCCCAACATCCCTGTGTCCCAACTCTGAGGGACCGGTACTGGAACCCTCTAAAATCCCCAACACCCCCGTGTCCTGGTTCTGGAGGATCAGTACCAGAGCCCCCCAACACCCTGGTGTCCTAGCTTTGGGGGAGCAGCACCAGAGCCCCCCAACATGCCCAACGTCCCTGCTCCGAGGGATCAGCACCGGAGCCACCTAAAGCCCCCAGCAGCCCCGTGTCCCGGCACCGGGGGATTGGCACCGGAGCCCCCCACCACCCCCGGGGCGCTGCTCAGCAGCCCATACCCGACCCCACGCC